TATTGTAGTAAATCCCTCATTTAACGGCATAAAATCCACTTTGTGCAGAAATTATAGTAAGATTCCAGTAAAAAAAACAACAACTTGTGAATAAATAAATTAATAAAAACTTGACAAAAACAAATTAAACAGTTTTACATCTAAATAAATCCCTTTGTTGAGTGATTTTCTCTGTAATTCAACCAAAGAAAGAAGATGTAAAACAACTAAACAGTTCAGCTCGAAATCAAATTAATTCTCAACACGAATCTGTTTCCAGCACCGAATGAATCTGATCTTAAAATTCTAAATCCTGAAATTATCCACCAGCAGCTGCAAACCAATAATCACATTAAAATATTCTGGAAACGCAAAACCTGAACAAAGAAACAGCTGCGATCAGAAAATCAGTCAAACCTGAATTAAAACCACAGATTCTGATGAACACACGAGCTGCCGTTTGATTTCTGAAACCGCAAATAAAAGATGCGTCCAGGAGTCCGTCCAGGAGTCCGTCCACACGACACAAGTCAAATAAAAACGTTCAGTTCGCTGGATTTACTTTTGCTCGACTAAAATCGACTTTTTCTCCTCTTAAATAAATCTGCAGCTCGAGTTTTTCTGAACTTCCAGAACACAGAAGCTGCAACGTTTCACGTCTTTAACGAACAAAAGATAAAAACACAAAATCAGCTTTCTGTCGCTAAAGACGCTGAAAAATTAAAACTGAGAATCTGAATCAGCTGCGAAAAAAACAACAACAAAAAAGTAATTTAAAAACGAATCGAATCCAGTTTATTTTAGATTTTGAAGCTTGTTCAGGTGAACAGAGGGCAAACAGCAAAATAGAATCTAGGATAAACCTTTTCAAACCAACCGTTCAATTATTTCAAACGCTTAAAAATATTATTTTATATTTATGATCATATTTATTATTGTTATCGTTATTATTAACATAGTCATAGTTCACTAAATGGGGATTAAGATGTCAAAACACACTTCATCCTGATAATCCGCAACATGTGGGAGGTTTTGCTGCCACACACACACACACACACACACACACACACACACACACACACACACACTTCACAGTAACGACGTCCCACAAAAACCAGCTTCCTTAAATCTTTCCTTTTTTTTTTAACACAAAAAACCAAACAAGCAAAAAAAAGACCACAAACTAAAACAAACAAACAACAGAACTCCTCCAGGTAGAACCATCAGCTCCAGCTCTGACCTCCATCCTCCACCACAAGGTTCCCACAGACCTCACGTCTGGTGGATATTTTTATTTGTATTATTTTAAAGATATTTTAAAAGTCTGACAAATGGTTGGATGGAAATAAATGATAGTTAGATTAGAGATCAAAATAATTCCGCGTCTGTCAGCTGCACAATGTTGATTTAAATCAGCTGGAGGTTTTTTTTTTTGTTTTTTGTTTTCTGGATTCTGAATTAATTTGACAACAAACACCGAGCAGAAGGATTAAAGTCGCTTCTTACCGACGAGGCCGTGGAGGTCAGCGGCCAGGAGTCCGGCTGTCCAGCAGACTGCGGCTCCGGGCTCATCATCACGTCATTTATCGGCTGCAGGTGGATGTTCGGGCCCTCAGGCGGCTCCGGCGGCCCCCGGAGGGTCCCGGCGCCTCCTGCTGCCCCCCTCCCCGCCATAACTTCATATCTGCCAACCAAATATGAAATCCCTGACTCACTGCGCAGCTCTCGCGTTACAACGCGGTGGTTGGCGGCTGTAAAATCCCGTTTGAGCTGATCGAAGCCGATTATTGGAAGGTTTTCTGTCGATTTGGGACAAATGTCCGCCTCCGGTCCATCTGGCCGCAGCTCGGCTTCTTTCTCTCGGTTATATTTTGGGGCTTGTCACAGCGCCGCAATAAAACACACTTTATTACCGTCACGTGCTCCGCTTTTTTTCCGCGCTACTCCCACAAGGCTTCATAAATTATTAGGCCGCGCACCGAGAGCTGCTCTGCTGCAGAAAGGCGCCAAAGAAAAACGAGCTTCGGTCTCTGGAGGTTTGAGCTGCTGCAGAGTTTAAACAACAGCAGCAACGTTTGTGCTCTGAAGATACAAAACAACACGAGTCTTTTATTTACAGAGTTTTGATCAGGTTGTTTTCTGGAGTGAAAATGCAGCACGATGCGAGTTTTTGTGAAAAACACAACTTGTAAATTGTGTTGTTCTTTGTGCGTAAAAGAACCTAAATTCGTGCGTAAAATATTCTTTCCTGTGTGTGCGTAAAACGTCCCATTCTTTGTGTTTAAAATATTGGATTCTGTGTGTAAAGTACCTTATTTTGTAAGTAAAGAATCCGAAATTCCAGCGTGAAATATCAAATTCTGTGTGTTTAAAATGCCCTGTTCTCTAAAGAAAATGCCCTAAAATAGTTTCTTAAATATCCTATTCTGATGCTTAAACAATGAGACTCTGTGCGTAAAATGCCCCAAATTCATGCGTTAAATTACAAATTCTCTGAGAGCAAAAAAGCGCTACATTTGTGCGTAAAATGTCCTGTTCTGTGTGCAAAAAATGTTTATATTTGAATGCGTATATTCTACGTGGGTCAAATGTCCTCCTCTGTCTGGGGAGAATGTCCTCCATCTGTGCGTAAAACGCTCCGTGTGGCCCCTGCTGGACCCGGGCTTTGCTCACTTTCGTCCAGAAGCAGCCGAGACTAAACGCCGTTTGCATTTTTCCGGATGTGTCTGGAATGTTGTTTGGAGCGTTTGTTTCCTGCTTTGATTTCCGTAAATGGAAGAGCAATAAAGCCATAAAGTGGCGCTGTGAAAACAAGCCGCAGCTCTGTGCGCCAAACTGGACGCAGCTTTGTTGCTTTAGAGGCGTCAAGTGTCAAAACAAGACAGAAAAGCCCAAGTTGTCTTTTGAACCAAATCCTCCAGAAAGAAACGGAAACTTTAAATCACTAAAGATCAGTGAATAATAAAAATACATACTACTAATAATTATAATACATAATTAAAGTTCTTTATTTTAGATAAAGGCCTGAAGGAAAGCAACATTTTACGACCTTTTTATAAATCCTGTTCAGCAGAATCCTGTCCCTCTGGTTCTTTCTTTCTCTTTATTTAATTTTGGTTCCACGTTTTCATTAATTTCTCTTTGAGGCGTTTTTTTTTTTTTTTAAAGCCTCCACATGTCGAGCAGCTGCCGAACCTTTAACTTAAAAAACCAATAATCAATAATGAGCTCATGTTAAAGCGAATGTTCGTGTTCTGGAACCGGTTCGGTCCGCTGAGACTCTGCTCGAGGTGCATTCAAGGTAACCCGGAGAGCAGAACTCCGGTGACCTCCAGACTCCTCCGAGCTGCTGGCTGAGTCTGTAGCGCCATCTGCTGCCGGAGAGACGCGCTGCAGAGGCTTGAACCGGCGCTGTTTGGTTTTGCTGAACACAATTATTATTAATTCTTGGTGTTTGAGGTGGACTGGCTGCAGTTATCGGAGCAGCTGTGAACTCAAAGTTTCATGATTGTTCTTGTGGATGTTTAGTTTGAGCAGAACTCTGAACTGACTGACAGAAGAAGGAGTTCTCAGATTTGTCAGGTTTTATTATAGGAAGCTTCCAGAAAGCCTCAACTTCCCCATGTTGTTGTTATTGTTGTTGTTGTTGTTTTATTCCTAGCTGCAATCAGAAGCTGCAGGATGAGTGTTTAAATGGAAAAGTTGAGTTTTGAATCGAGGAAAACAAAAACCGTGACCGTTGGTTTCTGCCTTTAAAATGAATTATTCTAAAAAATAATCCAGTTTATGCATCAAAACCCTCTAAGAATCTCTTTAATTCTCCTTTTGCTCTTTTCAAATATGAACATTTTGTTAGTTTCTAGTTGCCCATTGTAAAAATATTAAACAGTTTTGTAAAATGATGCAGAAAATCGTGTGGCATCAAGTTCGCCAGAAAAATCTGTTCAATCTGTAACATTCAAGATGTAAAAATATCTGTAAAATAATTATTTAAAAAAGTAGTAAACATTAATTTTATGGCCAAACATTGTAGAAAAAACCAACAACAACCTCATTATTTGTTTTTTAAAAAGATTTTTGTTGTGGAAAGTTTTTGTGTCGACAATTTTGG